CTGCTATTATTTTGGAAAAACTTCTCCAGACTTTAAATGAAGACAGAGGAGGCCCATGCAGAACAATTACAATGGAGAATTTGTTTACAGGCTGCCACTAGAAGAGACATAATGCTTCCCTTTATCATCACTTGTCAGAGCAGTGACAGCCTGTAAACAGCTTGCCCATGCATTATTCTTTATCTGTCACCCTTGTGCCAGCTCTTGCCCTAGCAGGTGCCTGGCATGTGTCAAACTTACATTTCAGGGATTCATCTGATCAGCACTGGAAAGAAAAGTATGATGTATTTTCTTTTCAATTATGAATTAGATATTTGCTCCCATATCTAATGGAAGGGTCTTTGGCTTCTTTGTATGCAAAAAGTACCATTTATAGCTTCCTGTAGAATTTAAATACTGACTTCTCTCTCATGCCCAATTTTGAAAGTGGAATTTATGTAATTCTACTGAATATAAATTAAACCATCCTATCTCCCTGTTCTATTGTCATGGCAAATCTGTTCAAATCTGATTTCCTTTGGTAATGAATGGGCAGAATGTGCTGTCCTCTGGCCATTTAAATGTCTTTTTATTAGAGGTTGCTTTCTATTTTACACACTGCATTATAATTTCTTTAAAATAATTTCTCTAGAATTACAGTTTTGTGCTAACATTGATTCATGCATGTTTACTTGTCTACTTGAGTTTGCTTAGTTGTAAATGTGTATGTATAACATACAGGGTTTATGTGTGAGATGCTTCTTCTGCAGATTAGCAATAAAATAGTTGGGATCTGTGAGAAAATGCAGTTGTACTATAGGAAATAAAACATTTGGTGTTCTCTTCTGTGAGGGAAATTTATGGAGTTCTGTGAAAAGGGGAAGTTTATTCTAATAGGTTTGGTAAAAGACAAGATTTTAAAAATCTAAATTTGTTAGTAATCACAAACACTGATATTATTTTTTAATCAAAATGAATTTCTAAATGAAATATATGTTTTTAGTATTTATATTTATAGTAGAAAATACTACTGTTTTCTTTAAAACTGATACTGTTCTACTGTCTCTGGCTGTTACTCTGTGTTTATTTTTGCTTTTAGAGATTGGTAAAATTTGAAACAGATAGTGCCTCAAGACATTGTAGGACAAATTAGAGTATGAGATCACTTTTGTAATGATTTAAGTTTAAAAGATCAGTAGTTATGGATCCAAAACAAATTTGTTTCCTTCACCTTAAGATATTTTCATTCTCGCAACCATATTGGAGTTGGACATTGAACTTAAACACTTTGTGATGTTTTTATAGCTATTTTAGTTATTGAGAATTTTTTCCCAAATAAATTCCCAAACCACCTTCCTTGCCACATCTCAAAACTAAAGATAGAGTAGGTACTCTTGTAGGCCTCTATTTGACTCTTTCATGACTTACTGTTAGGATATTACTAACATGTAACTGGTCTATAAAATGTAGATACCTTATGTCTCTCTAGTAATCCATACACTTTGGTTTGTATGTAGACCTGGTCTTTTAATGTCACTTGCCTAACTAAGCTTTATAAAATTCACAAGTCATTACTTTTGTTTTCTTCCTTACTACTTCCGGATATGTCTAAATGAGGAGGCATTTAGAATTCTGTGTAAAAAAGATGTGCAAATTTTATTTGTGTGTTTCTGCTTTTTTTCTACTCGTTCCTTAGCAACAAGGAGAAAATGATAAAATCATTCAGTCATTGGACTAATTAAATAGATGACAATAATTTTGGGATATGTAATTCTGGCATCAGAAGATGTGCTGGATGTTTTAATGCAGTTCTTCACAAATCAGGTGATATGCTGTCTAAAATGCATGAAGAGCTATCTGAGAGAGAGGGAGGAAGGTGGTGCAGAGCTTTTGTTTGTTCCACAGAATTGCAGCCAAAGGAAAAAAAAAATTAAAATTTGAGAGACCTTTTTCCTGAGTTTGCAAGGAATCTAAAGCAATGAAAGAACGGTATGAACTACCATCAATTTAATAAATTCCAAGCTCCAATACCACTAATGACAATCAAATCATATTATTCAACTCTATTGTTATTTAGCAATTGATATAAGAACAGAAAAGAATGTATCATAATTTGATAGTTTACATCATCTCTCCCTGAAGTGTTTTCCTGAGAAGAAAGGCACTCAGCTTTCAGAATTTGCTCACTGAAAGATGTGGAAGGAATGAAATTAATTCCTTTGCATGAGACTGAATTTCAGTGAATTAATTTGGCTCAAGACAAGTGATAACAATCAGAATGCTTTTAAAGGGTGCATTTGTATTAGTTAATTTAAACAGCAGTGGTGGCCATGTTCAAACTGCCTGCTGTAAGGGCAGTAACCCCCATTGTGACACCCAGCTAGTGGAGGCCAACTTGTGTGCCTGCAGGCACCAGAGAGCCTACCAGCACCACAAACAATTTGGATTGTCCAAGTAAGGCTCCTGCTTCTCTCCATCAGAGCATTTAGCTGCTTTCTTGGTAGCTGCCTTCACCTACAAAGAGAGAAACTGCCTATAAACAGGAAGGAGTAAAGCAATTGTGTCTGACATGTAATGAAATTCAGAGCTGTGTAGTAGCTGGACAACTCCTCGATCAACCAGAGTGTCATCAGTGAGCCCATCTCTGAGGGTAGGCAGGTGATGATGGGGGATTTGTGCCATAGCCAAGGCATTTAGCAGCTGCTTCAGAGTTGGAGAGGTGTGTTCTGGCTGAGCAACCCAGTTCTTTTTTAGTGCTTGTCTGAACAATGTGCAGCAGTGTGGCCTTGCTCTTGGTGCTGAGTCCCTATGCACCATTCAGTGCAAACAAACTGAAGACCTGTGGGTGGAAAAGGAGAAGGGTTAGGTGACCTTTGAGAACTGCAGGAAATTTCTGGTGTCTGAGGACTAACAGAACCTATGGTACCTAACTGATTAGATTTGATTTACTTTGGAAATATATAATAACCTGTCACTTTAGAGCTTTTTCATTTTTCATGGCTGTTAGATGATACAATTTACAATATAGAAAAAAATCCAGACTGACAGCCCTAACTGACTTTCTTATATTACCTGCAAGGTCTTTGTATCTTTGTTTTTAAGGTCTATTTCCCTTCTTCTATATTTCTGTGCTATGGGAATAGTCTCAATGGAGCTCATAAAAACAGAAAAACAGTTCAATAAATATACACTTTAAACAGTTTTGCCTGTGGGCACAAAATGATCCAGGGCTTGAATAAACCTCAGTTCCGTCACAAAACTGAATTGTAGCTGCTAGCTAGAGTGAGTTAGAGTAGCATACAGGCCTTGTCCTGTGAATATGATTGGTCATACAAAACCCACCACTCAAGACACAGAACATCTCTTGGCATTGTTACTATTGGAATTTTAATGAGTGTAAATAGTGAAATGGGATGGGGAAAGGGATAATTCTTTTCTTCTTATTTAGGAATTTAAATGGGTATTCTACATTCAGACACAGAGCAGAAAACGTTCTATATTTATCTGAATGTCATTATTTATGTTACTGTCTCAGACTTGGCTTTCCTCACTTGACCTAATACTTCTCCTGGGCAGTACAACGAGCATAAGCCTCTGTCTTGACTTAGGATATCTCTAAAATGTTGTGTTTCTCCTCCCAGAAGCCCCAACCTGTTCTGTAGTCATTGCAGTGGGATGTTCCCAGTCCCTCTTCTGTGCAAGTGTGCATCAGGATTCCTCAGTATAAAGGACCATCCTGTGTAGTACTCTTCCACTAAGTACACATCAATGTTCTGCTTCTTCCTTATCTGCAGGTAGCTTTGGAAAGTTGTATGTGTTTGTCAGCTAGGAAAATAGCAAGATGAAAATCAACATGTGGAGGGAGCTCTATTTCACTGGAGCTTAATGTTGTTTTTGCACAAGATTCTGTATTGTCTGTGCTGTGACTTACTTGCTCATTGCCTTAAATTTGTATGTCTGCATTATATACTCCGGGATACTGCTAAGTGGAAATCCTTTTGGCTAGTCCACAGCAAACTTCTTGCAATTTGTAATGGTGTAAGAACAGGAACAAGGCCTGCGCTGTCCATAAAAGTCCAAAGAATTAGTAGCTGATATCAGAAACAAGTATAACTTGACAAAGCCATTTCCATGAGACTTAGCTTGCAATCCTTAGCATAACTAAATGTAGCTTTCAAGTGTTTTAATTATTAGAGACTAAGCTTTTCTCTCCCTTTTCTCCTGATGAATGAAATTATCATATTTTTCCAAAGTAATGAGTGGCAATCTGAGGTGTTATAGCAAACACAAAGGATCAGGACTTGTGTTTTAGATGTATTTAGGAAGAGGCAAAACTGTAGGGTGTTTTTTGTTGTTGGGTTTTTTTATGATTCTTAGTGCGCATTTCTTGTCAGAAGAAAAAATATTCCCAAAGATGATGTTTAGTGATACAAACAGAACCAGATTTTGCAGATCAGAGAACCTATCAACTACTCTGCATTTCAGCCTAATTTTATTAGGAAGTCAGCTGTCTGTGTACTTCATGCTGGTATCTAACTATTAAGCTCTTTCTTCATATCTGTTTCCCTTCCCATTACAAAAACAACCTCATTGTGCTAGTTTTATTTTTAAAATTTATTTCCGTGCATAGTACTTCACAATAAGTTCATATAGGAAACTTATAAATGGAAACTTGGAAATGTCACTGTTTATAAAATGACATGCCAGAATGTTTATGTGGCCCTGGGCTGCAGGAGCAAGAGAATGGATGAATATCCTGCAGCTGTTTTGGCCATTATACTGTGGATGGCAGGTTGCCAGTAACAACTGTGGCACAGTGTCAGTGTCTTCCTCTGTGTGATAAAAGAGAGAATATTTGCACTTTCTGAACCATCTCAGGAGGATTTATGGCACAGTTTGGAGGACTTGAAGTGACTAAAGATGGAAGTAGATAAGCGGCTTGTAGGTTTTACACCAACCTGTCCTTCTGTTGGCTCCTCCAGGCCTGCCACTGCTGATGGTTTTTTTGCCTTTATTTCTAGAACATTTGAAAGAGAAGCTGGAGGAATACATGGTCCGCTTTGCCAAGGTGAGGATTGTGCGCACCAAGAAACGGGAAGGGCTCATTCGGACCAGGCTGCTGGGAGCCTCGCTGGCTAGAGGAGAGGTCCTGACATTTCTGGATTCCCACTGCGAAGTCAACGTGAACTGGCTGCCACCCTTGCTCAGTAAGTGCGTGAGCATTCATCAGGCATTAAAAACAGACAAAAAACCAGTAACTGAAGCTGTGTCCCCCAGTAAGCTAGACATACACTGTGTCAAAGTGTTTGGAGTTCTGCTGAAGTTCTGATCTGTATGAAGTGTCAGTGTGAGACAGAACTCCAAGAAATGTGAGCAGCTGCATTTTGTTTCTTGAGACAAAAGAATTTGTAAAATCTCTCAGTAATGCTTCAGCATATAGTAGTTACAATTTATTTTATTGTTACTACTACTAAATACACTGCTATATCTAATATAATGTTATGTCCTTGCTAAAGACCTGAAAGGGTTTGTTATGCAGGTATTGTACTCCTTCCTAGTTTTCCACATTGCATTAAAACAGTTTTTGCTGTAAATATATCCAAGGCCTCAGTGTTAAATCCAATAGCAATAGCATCCACAACAGGAAGCTCAGAAAAAATTATTTGCTATTGACTATTTTGCTGGATTCCAGCTGCAGCCAGCAAAGCTCTGTTAGTTAAAGGAATGGAAGGATTCAATTGTTGTAGCCTAAGATTTCACTTCTGGAAATAATGTTCTCTTTTCTGCACACTAATATACATGCAAAGTATATATGCTTTGCAAAGTGAGTGCTTTTTGCTACCATAACCGAAGAAAATTTCTGAGTTGCCTAATAAAGAAATTTGTATTCATTAAAAAAGTCTGCTGTAAGTACACAGAAGGTTATGGTTTTGCTAATTAATGGTTATTGTTCCTTGAATTCTGATGTTGGGACTCTTGGGCCACACAGTAAGCTGATAAAGCATTTGCAGCAACATGTGCATTCTTCTAATGAGCTATCAGTAGAGACCAAGAAAAATACTATTAACTAGTTTCTGTTCAGATCAGTAATAAGATAATACACAAAATTCCAAATTTTTATCCTTCTTAGCTTTCATATCAAATCATGTATGCAGTTGTTCCCCTTGTTATCTCCTTGCCCTCAAACACATCTGCATTTTTAAAAATAACCTCCATGTCTTCATGTAAAGCAGAAATGTCATAAAGGAGCAGAGAGAAATCCAAGTTGAGGCCAGTTCCCCTTGTTCTATCACTAGGAGAAGAGACCAACCCCCACCTCACCACAACCTCCTTTCAGGCAGTTGTGTAGAGGGATAATGTCTTCCATGAGCCACTTTTTCTCCAGGGTGAACAACCCCAGGTCCCTCAGTTGCTCCTCACAGGACTTGTGCACCAGACCCTTCACCAGCTCCGTTATCCTTGTGTGAACTCTCTCCAGCCCCTCAATGTCCTTCCTGTATTGAGGTGCCCAGAACTGGACACACGACTTGATGTGCAGCCTCACAAGTGCCAAGGACAGCGGGACAATCCCTGCCCCAGGGACAATCCCTGCTGGCCACACTATTGCTGATACAGGCCAGGATGCCATTGCCTTTTTGGCCATCTGGGCACAGCTGGCTCATGTTCAGCCACTGTCAGACAGCACCTACAGGCCAGGCTCTTTTCCTCTGGGCAGCTTCCCAGATGTGCATCTGTAGGCCTGTAGCACTGCATGGGGTTGTTAGGACCCAAGGGCCTCAATTCTTGGTTCAGCCTGTCCAGATCCCTCTGCAGAGCCTTCCTGCCCTCCAGCAGATTGACACTCCCATCCAACTTGGTGTCATCTTCAACCTGACTGAGGGTGCACCTGATCCCCTCATCTAGATCATCCAGAAAGATGTTAGAAAGTACTGGCCCCAGTACTGATTCCCTGGGGAACAACACTTCCAATCTTCCACCAACTGGATTTAACTTCATTCACCACGACTCTCTGGGCTGTCCATCCAGCCACTTTTTTATCCAGTCAAGAGTGCACCTTTCTAAGCTGCCACCTTCTCCCGAAGAATGCTCTGAGAGACAGTATCAAAGGCTTTACTGAAGTCCATTTCCTTTCCCCACATATCCATTTCCCCACATATCCATTTCCCCACATCCACTAGGCAGGTTACCTGCTTATAGAAGATAATGTTAGTCAGGCAGGACCAGACTTTCATAAACCCATCCTGGCTGGGCCTGATCCCCTAGCCTATATGATCTTCCATGAGATAATCTGTTCCATACATTTAGCTAGATTTCACCATGTAAAAACCAAAGAAGAAATAGATTGGCATCAAAGGACTCACAATTGCAGCCAGGTTGCAGTTGATGTTGAACCCTCAGCCTCAAACCAGAAAGCTGGAAAGATGAGAGCAACTGCATCTGTGCCCCTCTGTTGTCAAGAGGAATGAAATTTTCCTCATTCCACATATAGTAGAATACCTGTAGATAACCAAGCAGCCAGAGGATCTAGAAATGAGTCTTGAAGAATACTGAAGCCCAGAATCAAATCTGTTTTATTTTGAAAGAAAAAGTAGAGCATTACATAAAGGACAAATAGAAAATAAACACACATCCAGTATATTTTCCCTGTGCCGTTTTTCTAAAGGAATGAGGGAATTTTCTTATAAACTTGAGATGGCATATATTTACTGTACTGAAATCAGATGACACCTGGCTGCTAGTAATAGTATAGTTAATGTATGTTTTCAAGTGTTTATCTGAAGTCATATTTTGTGATTCACTCAGCACTGCATGTGACTGAAAGGTCATTCAGGGAACCACAACAGAGGACATGTAGAGTGTTTATTGCTTTGAAGCTGCCCTGTTTTAGCTCTGACTGAATCTGGCATGTGTAGTGAAAAATCCTCAGCAGGTACATGGTTCAGCCCTGCTCTGGACCGGCAGTCTCTGCTGAGAGGAGCAGTGGTTTCCACTGTTCCAAACCAGGTTTTGTTCCAAATGAGACCTGGGAGGGGGGTGAGGAACCAAGACCAATCACTTACAGATGGTTCTCAGAGCTATTTAAGTATCTAACTTACATATTCAGAATGAACTATCAGCTTTTAGGCCAAAGAAAGACTGAGTTATTTCAGTACTTTTAGGGTATCTAAATGGCTTTGTGGAGCTGAGCCACAGTTGTTTTCAGTTACAGTTACTTTTGGTGTACACAACTACAAACACCCTGGTTTTATCAAAACACAAGATTTTCCTGTGGTTCCTTATGTCTAAAATATTTTGGAGGCTGAGAAGTAAGTTCTGCAGAAACACGCTACGGCAGGTAAGCATCATCATACTTGCAGGATTCTTGAGAGAGTTGCAGAAATGAAGACTGGGATTGAGCTTGAGCATTGCTCAAAAAAATCTCCCCCTGGCTATCTACATGTGACTTGGAGACTTCAAATCCTTCAGTGTATTTAAAGATAGCAGCTTTTAAAGATGAAGAGAAGGATGCTAAAGCATTAAGAGTGTACCTTTGACCTGCTTCAGAAAAATCAATCCCATTTAGTTTCTCTACTCCAATCAATTTAGAAGGAGGGATCAGAGACAGATTGTTATAAGCCCTATAACTATTAGGAGGGCCATGGCAGGAAAGAGATTATGTAAAAGTGATTTTATATAATGATCACAGATAACACTGTACAATGTGCCAGTGAATGTAATTATATTTGGCCATAGCAACAGTAATGCAGCCCTTATCTCTGTGATGAGTTTCCTAGAATTTTGTGAGATCCTGTGCTTTAAATTTATTTCACTATTAAAGAATAAGGATGTAAAAACCAGCTGAACTTCCAGTCACAGTAATTTCCCACTAGAAGCATTGATCCCTGATTTCTAAACTTAAACTTCTGAGAATAAATATAAAGACCCTGATGTTTTGTGAAAATAATCTTTTTTTCTTAATTCCAGTCCTGCAGAAGCATGGAAGCAGAATCTGTCTTATTAATCATTATACCAGTATTACCTACCTCCCTAGCTAAGTGTTCAATCCACACTCAGCCCTCTTATTATTTTTAGGGTATTATCAACCGTCAGTGAAATCTAAACAACAAAATCAAAAAACAAAAACCAAATTTTCCACATAGGCCCCAAAATGTACTAAATAATATAAAGGATCTAAGCTGCCATTCAGAGAAAAAACTTTATTATACTTGGAATGTTAAGGTTTTAGGGGGTTTTTGAGGGTTCATAGGTAATTTTTTACAGTCCTTTCATGTCAACACGGCTATAGGTTTTCTCTGTACTTCCTCATTTCAAACCATTATTCCTCTGCCTAGTTCTTGATGTTGGCCTATCTTCTTTACTTGTCTTTCTTTTCAGAGGAGCTCTATAGGATTAAGCAATAGGATTCACCAAAGCAGACTCAGGCTGAGCTGAGTTTATGCTAGGGATGGGAATTTGATTTAGTCTCACAGTTCTAACTTTTTTTTAAAAGCAAAACTAAAGTCCTTTCTCTAGAAAGCAGGTAAGAATAGTACTGTGGAGCCTTCTTTAGAACTCAAAGATTGGTACAAAAAAAAAGGACACAAGCTCTGTTTTTCTCTTTGTGTTGGAGTTTGCCTTTAATTTGGAGCATTTGATTTCAAAGCTGATGCACTCTACAGCCACAGGAACAGTGACTGAATGGTTGCAGGGGCTGAAATTCACATTTAGGAATAAATCTCTCTCTCAGGGGGTTCCCAAACACACTCCCCACGATGAGGGAGTATTTTTACCATTTGCTTGCTGGCCTGCTCCATAGCTGACAGACTGGGGACAGCTCAGCATAGCAATGAGAGAGAGATGCAGATGACTGGACTCCTGTGGGTCTCACAGGGATGTGCTTCCTTTTAAGGAACCATAAATACTTCTAATCACTGCCCAACTGCATTAATTCTACTTTAAATAAAGGTTTGATACAGATTGGAAAGATGAAATTATTGGGGGGCCACAGGGCACAAAGCAAGCAATCTTCAAACATTCAGAAACCTGTGGGATTCACTTTGCAGTAATATGATAGATGGCTTGACTAGACATGCCGTTTCCTATTTTCTGCTTTCATTTTTCAGACCAGATTGCACTTAATCACAAAACCATCGTGTGTCCTATGATCGATGTCATTGACCACAATCACTTTGGCTACGAGGCGCAGGCGGGGGATGCCATGCGAGGAGCTTTTGACTGGGAAATGTACTACAAAAGAATCCCGATTCCTCCAGAGCTCCAGAGAGCTGATCCCAGCGACCCCTTTGAGTAAGTAGCGATAAAGGGGAGAGTGGGAACGTGAAGAAGGGCAAGCAAAAGGTGTAACTGTAGCAGAATCCAAGCCCAGGCATTTCCATGTAGGCCACTTTCTGCTAATGAAATGTAATAGAAGAAAACACCTGAAAACTAGGAAAAAGATCAAGGCAACAATTTGTAGAATTCACAAAATGGAAACACAACTTGGCTCAGCGACTGTACATAAGAGACAGGCACATGCTTGTAGTTAAGTATTGGCATCAGAGAAGTGATTGCAATGGCAGGAATTCTGTTTATTTCACAGAAACTTTATTTAATGTTTTATTTGCTGGTGATTGATGCAATATATGCACCCACAGTTGAGTCCACGTTACACCAGCAGATGCTTTGTTTATAACTGGTGATGTGGCTGCTGTATATGCAGTGCTGTAACTTGAACACAGAGCTGTCAAACCTGAACACTGTCAAGATGATTTGTAAATAGTTTTAGGTAAGACAGCCTCTGATCCCAGTATTGTAGAGATCAGCTCATTCACAGAAATTATCTTCCTTCTTTTCACAAAGGTACATCCTTTTTTCTTATCTCTTCTTATAATTATTCTCATGTAAGACTCAGCTTGGATTAATCCTTATCAAAAGGGAAAGGACAGACAGACAGACAGACATGGTTCTAATGTGGGAAAGTCTCCAGGTCTCACACAGGCACATCCCAGCAGGGCTGCCGGTAGGGCAGGTTCTGACATTCGTTAGCCCTGGCTGAACCTCCACACTGTAGGTTATGTCGGTTTGAAACCTCAGCGTTCTCCCCTTCCCAAAGCAAAACGTGGAAACAATAGCAACAGAAGAACTCTGACCCTAATATCCAGGGAATGACCAGCAGGGAGGAGTAGGTAACTGTGATATTTGTGGGCTCATTTTCATTTTTCTACTTGCTCCTTTTTGCTTATCTCCATCCAGGCCCTTCAGTCTTCATCTTGCATTAGCATAAGTGCCAGTGAAGTACTTGACATCAGGTGCCACTGTGACCACTTGTCACTGATCGGGTGGGAGATTCAGGCAAGCCCTGCTTTAGTCTCAGATTTTTGACAGCAGTTTAAATTCAGTATGGCCCACACCTAAAATCACTCCAGCCTGCAAGTTCTAAGGACAGCAGATCAGGTTCATTATAAAATTAGTTATTCATTTAATAGGTAGGCAACCACAATCAAAAGGCCTTAAAGAGAGCTACTTATTACACAGAAAAAAACAAAGAGAACTAGTAGATTACATAAAACAGTGCACAATATCGAGGTACCTATATTTAAGCTGGCAAAGAACTAGTATAGATTAGGAGTCAATGTAATTTACTGCCAAAATAACAATAGTGTACAGAGTGCTTTCACTCAGCTCCCAGGAGGGTAACTTTAAGGCAGGCATCCCAGCTTTGGACAGAAAGCCCCACAGATTTCCAGGGAGTATGCAGAAGATTTCTGCTTTGTGAAAGTTTGATGTAGCTTTTATAGTTTGTAAAGTGAACTGTTAGTCAGAAATTCCAGCTTCCTTTCTATATCTCACTTCCACAGCAAGATATCTATTGACAGCTGGGAACATTACTTTCATGGCGTCAAAAAAAAGTCACTGCAAGACAAGCTGTCTTGACTGAGTTATTTCACCAATTAGCAAGCTCTCATGAAGGGCAAGATGCCCTGAGTTCACCAGCTAACAAGACACAGATAAGCTCTTCTGAGGGGCCAGATGCCCTGCTACACCATTCCACAACACAGACACAGCTAGTGCAATCACATAGCACTCCAGAGCTGCTAGATATTCAATTACTCTAAGCCTTCCTGGTCCTCTGAGCAGTTGTAGTTTCTTGGCACTTATTGCAAGTAACCTTTGTATAATTTGGTTCAGCATTCAAAGTTTGTGTAAGTAAAACTTCTCTATTGCCAGCGTAGCCACAGGGTTGCTTATCAGTTGTTTCACATTTGCTGTTTGTAGTTTGCATCTTGTAGAATCTTGTTGCGAAGACAAGAGAGGACTAAAGAGGAATCTCTCATAGGAAACCTCCTAGAAAGACAAGGTTTTGTGCAGTACAGAATAGATGTGGTGGCTTTGCATGAACTGCTATTCCACTCAGCATGGCAGCAGCTGATACCCACCTTGCCCTGCCAGCGTGAGACACAGGCAGATAAATGGCTTCTCAAGGAACAAGCTATAGTACAGTGCAGCCTATAAATCTCTTCTAATCTGAGTACTTGTCAGGTGGAAAGACCTCCCTGTTCTTGCACAAATCAGTGAGAGTCTTTCTTTGTTTTCCCCATAACAGGATGCACATCAGAGCGCGATGCTGCTGGGAAAGCAGCACTGCTCCAGGAACCATCATGTCTGTCCCCACACATGCCAGCAGGACTGAAGGCTGGCTGAGCTAGGACAATATGCTTGCTTAAAAGTACCCTCTGCCTAAAATGGCAAATGGGAATAGATATGTTTTAAATAATCATGAATTTTGCTTAGGGGAAAGATTATTTTCTAATTCAAAGTCAGTACTGCTTCTCTCCTATGGCCTTCTCTGCTGAGATCTCAAGTTTTTAATACCTTGCTTACAACAAATAGAGTAAATGTTGCAAACCATTTTACCTATCAGTAACTTAATTGACCAAGACAGCTTCTTTGAGTAAAAGATACAGAACAGTTTTCCTTTAGTTACATATGCACTAAAACTAGAAATTGCTTCAGCCAGCACCATAATTATTATGCTACTATTTTGTAAGCAGTAGGGATTTTTTTTTTTAATTTAGGTTAAATATTTTACTGTTGGTATCGTAATAGTTTTATTTCTTGCCAGCAGAGTCAGATCTGAGATGATCCCTAATGAACTGGAAAATTGCCAGCATTTTTAGTAAAATACCAGCAAATAATGGATACATGATCCAAAAAGTGTGCTGATGAGTTTTTCCCTTCACTTAAAATGCCAGCACAGTATATGTGTGAAGCAGAAAAGGTCACATCAGCCTAAGAAATAACGTACATAAAACCAGATCAAACTACAGAAAACCTAAGAGCAGTTGTTGTATTATCTGTATGGTACATTTGCTTTCCATCTGCACATGACCAAAGTCCTGCTGCATCACACACCAGCAGCGTGTTTGCAGCTGACACAACCAGCTGAAGTGTTGGCAGGTAGGCTCTTGGTATGACAGGAGCACGAGTCTTACTGAGCTCCAATGCCAGCTCAGCTAGTGCTCTGGAATTAATCTTTTCCCACATTTTAATTTTTTTTTAATACTATTCCACTGTGGTCAGTTTTGACCAGATGCTCTCCCATTAGACACTGTCTATCTCAGCATGGTCTTCCAGTTCAAAATCCTTCTTGTGAAGAAGAGACATTCTCATCCATTTGTGGTGTGAGTGTAGTCTTGATTTATTGTTCCCATGCCTGCAGTGCCACTTGGGACAGCATCTTCATCCTTTGCTGTGACAGAACTTGGAGCTTCACTGCCGCTCTCAGCTTTTTCTGATGTACACTCAGAAATGGTGTTCCTCTCACCCCTTCTCAGGCCCCCTGCAGTTGTTCACAACAAGTAGATTTACACCAAGATTTGGCTTGATGTTTATGGCTCTAAGACTGTAAAACGCTCTCAAAAGCTTGCAGTGTGAAATTCAGGTACAGATGATGTACTACCACCATTTGGGCAGTCATATGACAAATTTGTAACTGCACTTGGATCTGGCAGCATTCATGCACGAATTTTATCAGTTTGGTTTACATGTAGTTTGTCACTGGCCATGCCAAATTTCCCATAGGTTTCACTGAACCGAACTACAGCCATTTAAAATGTATTTTCAGTCAAAGCTCCCATATGAATTATTGGATATTTTTCTATGCTCACTGCAGCGTATAGGAAAGCTTAACAACTATTCTATAAATGGATCTCATGTAGCTTTTAAGGTTAGCAAGTTTTTCGAAATATCTGTGTGACTATTTTTCAGGATATATTGAATCCTTCTAGGCATGGAAGCTGGATTTCTCCTCTAATAAGGTTGCCTCCTCATCCAGACACTAAGTCTGTGAACCCTTTGATTTCCTTTTTTCATGTGCCACAGAAATGAGAGTTTTTACATTGCATTTAACTGATCTGTCCCCGTTGCAGATCATCATAGTGACTGTAGTGATTTTTGTCTTGCAATTTGTGTGCAACTACCTGAATATACTCTGAAGAGTGCTTCCTGCTATTTTCTTCTGCTGCATCTGGGGTTGTGCAAGCAACTCAAATTGGTGTTCTGATGCATGGTGGGAAATTGTCAGACAGTTGTGGAATCATGATTATGTCATGATGATGCTCACTGTCTTGATCCCAGGATCAGTGATCATTCAGCAGAATTGGAGATCACTTGGAACATTTTATTGTAGTCTATAACAGAGATGTTTATCTGCTTTGTGGCAAGGGTCATCTTGGCTTATCATCTCCTGCTGGTTCGTTCCTCTGTCTCAGCAGAGGTTTGAGAGCTTGCCCTTACAGGACACTTAGGTTTGGGACATAAGAGCATGCTCCTCTGTAGCTGTTCCTTTCCATGGTGCAGGCTCTCTGGTCCCCAGCAGAGCTTACCTAACCCAAGCAATAGCCACTTAAACCAATGGGATAACCTTGTTGCTGTAATGGACTGCGATATACAGCATGTCAGTTTATATGATTTAATAGCCTGACTAAGCTAAAAGCTCTGTGGAAGTTCAAAGTTTGGATATGCTCAGGCCTGCTGGGGATGACCGCTCTTTATTTCCTGGCAGCACTTAGATTATATCAATTCATGGTACCACATGCTTGATCTCAAAACTGGCATCCATTTCATGCCAGCTGCAACATACTTTTAACCAGACAAAAACCATCATTTCAACTCAAAAAACTATTTGGAAGGGGCTGCAGAACTCCTTGGAGCAGTTTTATGGTGGTGTAACTTCATGATGCAGGAAGGGGAGAAAGGTGCAGGTGAGACCTAACAACATTGCTATTGAATTGCAACTCAAGATGGAA